CATTTTACTTTTGCATTAACCAACAAACACGTTATGGATTCCTATGAAATTTCATTCTTCTCGTATCATTAAGCCATTGCAGATTGAAATCAAATAAATAGGTACTTATGAACATTTCCTTTCGAACGTATTGCCCTTCATGAGACGGAGGTGATATTTAAATGAGTAGTACAAAGCAAATTGTTAACGATGTCAAGAAAGAACAGACCTATGAGTATTGGCATTTCTATTTTCCAATAGGAAGGCATATTTATGACCGTCAGGGTATTTCATATCACTAGAACTTACATCTTCTTTCGATTTAGTAGACAAGTGATAATTAGTTCATCTAGTTACGAATGATAATTTCCATGTCAGATAATCCATTACGGAATAACCATACGAAGCATCAAATCTATTGTTCTGAAAATCTTTAGCTAAAAGCTACCTCTGGGTACGAAATAGATTTTCATTTCACAACACACTGATTGTGCGAGAATTGCACACAATTTTACTTGCAATCCATAAAAGTATACAATGATTTCCAATCGTAATGCTGGTATAATACAAGAGTTTTGTTATGTGTTCTTCTGCGCAATATTGCATACTTTAGATGAATGTTTTGATAACGATTATTTTTGTATTTGCTCTCCTTACTCTAGATGGAATCTAGTGGGTCACACATAGCTTGTTCATTACGTATAATTTCGGTGTAATGACATTTGTTTTAGCACCATATTCGACATGTGGTAGAATTTTTTTTCGACATTGTAATTTGTCAAACTGTCTCTCGAAATCTAGTAACGAAAAAGATTAATCTGATTATCAATAGCCGTAGTCGATCAATAACACAAGGGACAAAAAAATTACCCCCCTTTCTCTGTCAAAGGGCACAAAAATACCTAGGCATAAACTACTGCAAAATCTTTTTATATTAACAAGCATTAGCTTCTTAACAAGGCGCCTTTGTCAAGAAGCCAACCATAACTTAGTCAATACCAAACTGAAAGTGACCGGTATAACAGTTATAGGATTGATTAAATCATGGGATTTCCAACGAAAATGTATCACCAAAAATGTATAACTAAAAATGTATGACTAAAATATAAAACTATACTTACCTACTAAGTCCCGTATATCTATGACCTTGAAATTGTCCGATTCTTACAGTAATAACTAGGTGAGATATACCCATCTACCCCAACTAATTATACTGCCTTGAGTTCCTCAAGTCCGATGTGGCAAGCCCATCTTTGAGAGACCAGACAAAACATCTATGACAAGATCATCGAATGTACGAGAAGAGATCTGTCCAAGAAGGACATGCTGCGCAGCTTAATCTCATACTAAGGATTTTTCTTTGTTTAATTGCGTCATATTTTTTTTTGTCATAAAAACCATAAGTTAATACTCTTGAAATCCCTACTGGTTACATAAAATATGCGTACGGGGAATCATTGTTCCTGGATTATGCGCAACTAGTACATATAAATCAATTGTATTTAGTTTACCAGTAAGTCCTCGACAAGACGGTCTCGTAATTTGAAATGTATCCTTCAGAATATTACACAACTATTAATAGTAGTAACGATAACAATAAATGATTGTAATGATAAGTGGTATAAATAGTTGTGATAACGATATCAGTGTGTTAGTGTGTTGTATTCTTGCAATAAAAATATTCCTTCGCAGTAATTTGTTGCTCTTTCCCTTTCTTTTACAAATATCATATGAGTTTTAACGATGGGCTGAAAAACTTATTCACAGGAAATTTGCATAGCGTTAGCATCAACTGCGGAGAATGATATTAGTGGACAACTTTTCATAATTTAATCATGTGATACTTTATCGGTAACTGTGACCCAAGGGTCACAGTCTCGTAGTTCAGATAATTTTTCATTCAAAAAAATGGTTTCACAAATTATCATACAGCTATTCTTAATTCACGTAAATTGAGTAATGAGGGTTAGTCCCTTTCGACGAATGGAAGAATAACGAATGAAAACGTGAAGAACATATTCCTTTAAAGCAAACAGATATCTACTGCGGTGAAGAATATAAGTGGACCACAGAACGGAGATGACTGTGACCTTGGGTCACGTTCTCGTTATTGAGACATATGTTTTGCTGCAAATTACCCTTCCTGCTTGTCAGAGATTTCTTAGTAAATTTTTCTTGGCGAAAGTGATTGGCATGACAAATCGTCACGCTCACGTGATTTCTTGGTAAAATATCGGTGTGGTTTGTTATTAACAATGTTACGTGAAATGCAGATAACAAAAAGAATAAAAACATGGGGCATTGTTCCTAGGAACTGCTAATCCTTTCTTAGTATGCACCCTTGCTGATAACAAAATTCAGAACTTCTGTGAAACAAATCTTTTCTCTCTTCTTTAGTGTAAATGAGCAAAGCCACTGTACAGTTAATAGTGTTGAGTTAATCATAGCAGAATACATGAAACTTAAAATTAGACGCCATGCCAATAAGTTATTCCTTATTGTCCCAAATATATAAACTATTTTATTTAGCTAAACAGAGGATAGTAAATTGCGAGTATCTAATGAATCGCCAAACGAAGCTATTCGAAGAAAAGTTAAATATAGTATGAACGGGATGTTTGGAACAGGATGAGATGTCAATAAGAGTACTATGAAAAAAATAAAAAGGTACGGTAATAAACTTGATTATCCCCTGATCGGCACCATTTACACGATTATGCAAATGCAGTTATACCTACTGGATAGCAAATTTTATATGTATTTATTTATCCGTTTCTAGGAAATTTTGCGGTAAAAATTAACTATTGATTATACTATAATGAACTGATTTGAAAATTTGAGTAATTCAGAAAGATTTGCATTTTCCAAATGAGAAAAACTTTCTTTTAATTTAATTGTAATCTCCATATTATTTTTCAAGTGTAATAGTAATAGTTTCAAAGTTTTTTAAAATTTAATTATTTTTTAGAATCTTTTAAAATGAAAAAGAAACCAAGCGAAAGAAAAATAAGATACAACAATATAATAAACTATATTAAACTCACGATATACTATAAAATACTTACTATTGTGTAAATGGCAGGGGATAAGTAATACTTACACGGAAACAAATATTAAGGTTCCCTTTCTAAGGGGGCTAACAAAGGTAGACAAAAGAAAGCATACAAGTATGGATACCTAGAAGAGCTGATGAAATTGATCGAAAAAACTTAGTCTTACGGCCACGTGTAGGAAATTTTTGCACACATGCGTTAATTTTTTATTAACCTATTAATTATTGATTTTGAAATAATTGAACAAACACCGTACCTCTCAGAGTAATTGTCATTTATATACTGTTTGTTTCCACGAGTTTACTAATAATATTTCTTTGATAGATTTCTAGTTTGCTAAAGCCAGAGGCGAATTTAATCTCAACAATGTTCAATAGTAATTAACGAAAATTGTGAAGTCGGATATATCAGGAGGACCTTCCAGTAATCTACTTCGTACCCTTTGGGTATATTAGCATGCATTTACTCCTTTAGATATTATTCGAAAAAAATATTACAACGATTAGTAGACTAAAGTGATAAATATCGCAATCTTATGTATTTTTAATACATGTTTCTTACTATTTATTTTTCTCGTTTCTTGGTTGCATTGTTATTTCTGCTGCCTGACATATATATTGTACTACGTAAGGAATGAGATAATGAAACGAGCTAACAGTCTGATCGTTTCCTGAGGAAACAGTTTTTGGAGTTGCATTAGTGTCATTTCAACAGATACTAGAACATCAACTAATTCGTAGGAACTCTATTTCGTACCCTTTGGATAGTAGAACTACAAGAGAAATAAATCCAATATTCAGTTCAGGAAATCTCGTATATAAAACATTCTATATAACTGTTGACGTTTATAAAACACTCTATAGCTATTGACGTTTATTTACCTTATTTGAGTTATACCAACATTCCCTATGATGTCACTTGCGTTACCAAAATAATTTCGACTTAACAAAGCACAGACCTTTGAGAAGCGAAGAAAAATCAACCCCATCGATATCGTTGTCTTATTTTTTATGTCGCCCTTGCCGTATCTTAACCCATCAATATATTCTCAAAAAAAATATTGCCATATCTGAAGTCTGTTTTTAACATCAGTAGGAGTTTATATGTCATCATCGAGTGTTTACAATAACCAGTTGGCGTAATCGATGACCGGGATTAATGATGCCATTTTGTATAGATTTCATTATCCTCTTCCGAATATCGTCAACTTAATACGTGATACAGGGAGTATATTGGTGGAACATCATCATTTTTTGTCTGCAAATCATGTGCGAATTCCACTTTTGATGTTTGTCAAAACTTTCAAGAATAGGATTAAGATTAGATTCAGAATAGTTGCATAATTATCGCCTAATGGAGTCTCACCTGACAACCTTGTAGAATCTACTTCATTCCAAATTAGCATCTTATGAAAACAGATGGATAGCGATTGGTGATAATACAGTTCAACCATAGAGATCTACCAGCAATACATCGAGGGCACGCTTCATAAATATAAAAGCAAGAAAAAGTTTTTATAACAAGGAACAAAGATGGAATAATGAAGGTTTTTGGAAAAAAGGATACGAGGATTAAATCGAGACGTGAATAGACAATGAATATGTGCTCTTAGTGACACTGCTAAATAAATTATTGTTTCTGGTATTTTATTTCTGATTTGTCGCATTTTATTGTTAAAAACTGTTTGTAAATACAAATTATCGAATTCTATTTAACTTCCATATCCCCAGGCGTCTGATAACTATTTTAATTTCCATCAGACTAACAAAATCAACTAACGTAAAAAGGATCTCTTAAACCACAGTATCATTGCATGGGAAACATAACTTAGAACAGGAATTTGTAGGTCTGTTGTAGTTGTAGAAAATGAAAAAAGTAAAGTAATGATAATTAAATACGAGTGTCCACAAACCTTATTCTAATTATTCAAAAATAACATACTTACTCACCTATGCGAACTCACTAAAATTAATTTCTTTTTTCATCATTTTGTCGTTCCTTTGACAATAAAATTTCGATAAGCTCAGATAGCTTTATGTTTGTTTCTGAGAGGCTAGTGACAACAGTATCTATCTTCTTGCTTGTTTCTGAGAAGTTTGTAGCCACAATATCCATCTTCTTCGAAAACGCATCTATCTTCTTGTTTGTTTCTGAGAAGCTTGCAACAACGGTATCCATCTTGTTATTCGTTTCTGAGAAGCTTGCAACAACGGTATCCATCTTGTTATTCGTTTCAGAGAAGCTTGTAACAACGGTATCCATCTTCTTCGAAAACGCATCTATCTTGTTCGATAGTATGACTGAGCTGTTTACCATTTACTGTGCTTCCACTATTTGTAATCGATAACTTTCTAGTTCATGGCAATTCTTGAGAAGATTACTGGGTTCAAGTGAATCACGAGAATCAAGCAACGGCTTTATATTCTCAGGGGCCATAGTCTTCACCTTTTCCCATTCCGTGTCGTCGAAATTAAGATGGACATGCGCATGACAATTTTGTGCATATTTGTCTTTTGCTTTAGCCTGCCCTGTCTCCCACGTCCCATAGTTAAGAGAAACCATGTTAAATCCCAATCGTCCTCGTTCTTCTAATAAATCTTGCCAAAATTGCTTATTTTTGATTATCGACGTGTTGTCGAAGTGATTAAAATTGTTTTTTGTGTCATCGTTGGGACGAGGAATCATTAGTAAACCACGAATCGGTTCTCGTCTAAACAATATGTAATACTTTGTTCGTTCCCATACAATAAGATTACCAATAACATAATAGCTACAAACGGTATCACGCCCATCCCGTGTTTTTGTAGTTCCTTTACACATAGCATCCAGATGATCTCGACTTAAAGAATTCTCTGTGTTAATATTGCAGTCTATTGTATTGACACTCTCTGGTACGTAATAGCGAAGAGAAGGATATGGCAAGCAAAAAGGATATGGCAAGCAAAAAGGATATGGCGAGCAAAAAGGAAAACCAAAATACTTACTGCAGTTGCCTTGCTTACGATCCCAACAATTTCTACCGAATTTACATTGAGTAAATGCCAAATCATTGACAGTTTTATTATGCTCGACTTCAAACAGTGCAATTTTTTCAACAGGCACCACTAATCGTGTATTGGTGACAAACATTCTTGCAAGTTTAGTTGCTTCTTCTAGAGGTTTTCCCCGTAAGTAAACATCAAACCACAAAACAGGATTTAGACAGGCCACAAAGAAGGCTTTGTTCTCCTCAAACCGCACTTCCAAACAATACGATTCAGTTAGTTTCGGTTCTGATTTGATGGCATTCAACAGTTTAATAGACGTCTCTGTGAGACTTTCTGGCTCAAGAGTACTTTGTATCTTGAAATACGGGCTTTGCAATGTCTCTGGATCTTCTAATTGTGCCATATGGTTTTATAACGAGCTGTCTTTCTAATTTTCGATTTAAATAGCTGAGAAATTTTTATCATCTTTTTTCACAGTTGATAAACTACTAAGCCATATAAATAAAATGTTAACGCATAATATGTTAGTATTGTTGTGCCCCAAGTTGCGATCTGCCCCGATTTAAAATTGGGGCAGATCCATTTTGCCCGAAATTGAAATTTCAATTTTGGGCAATCCAACTTGAAATTTCGAAATGGGGCACAGACATTTTACTGCCCGAAATTTTGATTTTGGGTCATGTGACTTATATGATCATCAAAAATCATTGGCTTTCAATTTGTTTGTGAAACTGTTATGCAAAATTTTGTACACATGATTCCGATGTTACAAGTCGATATACAACCAGTCGACAGATTAACCTAATAGATAATATTGATTATATTTGATTAATTTACACATATAGTATTATTACTGTCTCTTATACACATCTTTCCGATGTTACAAGTCGATATACAACCAGTCGACAGATTAACCTAATAGATAATATTGATTATATTTGATTAATTTACACATATAGTATTATTATGTATATTCATTTTTATTATTGTTTATATTATTAATTTTCTGTATTTGTATTGTTTATATGTATACGATTTTTATTAAGATTCATTGTAGAATAATTAGCTCAATAGTAATTAACCGTTCAAATTTATCATTTGTGTTCTATTAAAATGTGGCTTACAATAAAACTGTCACCATTGTAATTACATAGATATATTATAATGAAACACTAACAATCTAGATAGATATATGATGTCAATAGGAAATCAATAGATTAGATTTCGCCCTTAATATTAGAAAAAGAGATGTCAGTTAGATAAAAATAGATATAAATATACCATCTGCCAACTCACTGATAGAAGTAGTGTCAGAATAGTGAAAAAGTGTTCAGAAATCATAAGAGTATTAAGCATTAATTAGTTTTCCCTTGAATTCTTTTAAGTTATCACTTTTATTGTTTTGGTTATAAAACAATAATCCTACGTTTATTCAATAAAAGCATTATACTTCAGTTAACTCCAACTTGTCGTTTCTTTTGTTATCAATCCTTTTTTTCGTGTCTCTCCACCCTAAATTTTATAAAAAAATTTTTTATCATGGAAACAGAAGAATTTTCTTTTATTAGTAAAGATACTTTTAATAAAATTATTGATAAATGTATACAAAACAGTAAATCTAAAACATCTGAAAAGCAATTTATAAATAAACACCTTTATGATGAAATAAAAACAGTTCTTTTAGATCATGTTTCTACATTACGGGATGCAGACTTTCGTTATTGGTGTAGAAAGAATTTCATTTTATTAAATACTGGAGGTGATTCTGTTGTATGTAAAAATAATAATAAAAGAACAAAAACAGCTTTAGATAAAGAAGGTAAATCTGCTGATTTTTTACCAATATTAGTCTTAGAAGAAATGTATAAAACAATTTGTTTGGAGCATGTACAAAATGTTCATTGTGGACAAAAAAATTTGTATAGAAAATTAAGAAGCAAATGGTATGGGGTGAAAAAGAAGATTATAGAGGAGTTTGTGAATCATTGTGAAATATGTGTACCACGCAGAACTATGTCCAAATCCACCTTAGCAGCAAGGCCTATAGTTGCGAAAAGATTTCTTTCGAGAGTACAGGTAATTTTAATGTTTGATTTTTAGCTTCTGTTTGATTACTTTACCTCCTGTTTAATTTGCTATATTTTTTTATAATATTTAGATGGATTTAGTTGATTTACGTCAGTATTCTGACAATGATTTCAAATATATCTTACATGTAAGAGATCATTTTTCCCGTTATTCATGGGCAAAACCCTTAACTTCTAAGGAACCCGCAGCTATTGCAGGGATATTATATGAAATTTTTTGTCAATTTGGACCTCCAATTATTTTGCAAAGTGATAATGGCAAAGAATTTACTGCACAAATAATTAAAAATCTAGTAGACTTATGGCCTGGTTTAAAATTGGTAAATGGTAGACCTAGGCATCCACAATCACAAGGCTTAATAGAAAGAGCAAATTCTATTTTAGAAAAAAAAATTGGAATGTGTATGGAACAAAATAATTCAATAAATTGGACTTTGTGCTTAAATTATGTTATTTTTACTATGAATAATACTATATGCCTAGCTACCAATAAAACTCCATATGAAATAGTATTTGGTATGCATCCACACAGTGATATAGCATGGATGGAACATCTATTTAAAGAAGAAAATTGTATAGATGAAGAGCAATTATTAGAAAATATTAATGTAGAACAAGAAGATACTTCACTTGACTTTGAAGAAGTAAGTATAAATAAAAAAATCTTTAAATTTGTTTATAATAAAATAATTTTTTTTAAAAAATTACAATATATAACATAGGAAAATGACGAAAATGAAGATAATAATAGTAATTCTATTCATGATAAACATCAGAGTAAAAGTAGAAATACAAAGGTAGTTAACCGTAATATATTTATTTAATCACAATATTTTAAATCAAATTATTTCAATATATTAAAAATTTGTTTATAATTTTATGCAGTCATTGAATAAAAATTCTAAAAACAAAGGTAAACAAAAGCAAGTAACTTTTGCTGTTAACAATAATCAAAATAAAGAATCAGATTATAATCACTACAATAATGATCTTAACAAAGATTCCGATAATTTTAATGAAGATTCTGATGATCTTAATAAAGATACTGATGATTCTAATGAAGATTCTGATGATTTTAACTAAGATGCTAATAATTTTAATGAAAATTCTGATGATTCTAACAAAGATTCTGATGATTTTAATGAAGATCATGCTAATAATCTTAATGAAGATTCTGATGATTTTGATGAAAATTCTGAAGATTTTAACGATCTTAGAAGCAATTTTAACAAAAATAAAAATATTAAGAAGGTAAACAAAAAAGTTATATTCTTGATTAAATTTTTAATTTATTTTAGTAAACTCTTTTTTGAATTTGTATTAATAAAGCAACCTAAACCTAAGCAAGTATCTAATGTTGATTCAAGTACATTATTTCAATTAAAACCTCCACAAATTAAAAATATCACTTGGGAAGAGATTAATGCATCATGGGAAGGCATGTTTGGATATAGTAATAAATTAAGATTAGGCGTAATTAAAAGAGACATCCTAGGATGTTTACGTGATTTAAAAGCAATGCGCTAAACAAATTCATTTGACAATATTTTATTAAATATTTGGGAAAAAAAATTCAACAAGTGGCTTGATGAACTAGATAATGAACAAAATGTGAGTTGTAATAATTTCTATTTTAATTATTATATTTAATTATTTATTTTTATTTTTTAAAAAATATATTTATTAATTTATTTTTATTTTTTTAGTCTGAAACAATTGAAGCTTCAACATCTCATGATTATATACGTGAAGATGCAAAAATGAATAACAAAAAATATAGAGATGACATGAAAATATTAATGGAGAAAAAAGTTAAAAAGAAAGATCTATTTAAGGTTGGTGATATTGTTAATCTTAAAATTCCAAAAGCAGATAAAGGAAAATTAGGACGCAGTCATTTACCTTGTAAGATTTTACAAGTTAAATCTAATGGCTTTTACAATTTGGGATGTTTTGCGGGAACATTAAATGTAAACTATAAGGGAAATTGTTTGGAATCAACTGAATTAACTTCTATGGCTGAATTAACAAATATTCCAAACAAGGTAGTAACTGTTACAGAAGCAGTTAGATTACAAAGTAATATAAATTCAGTTAAATGCAAATGTCCTAATACAAATTGTAGTACTATGAAATGTGCATGTAAGAAATTAAATTTGTCTTGTAATATTAGATGTCATCCTGGTAAAACATGTCATAATCCTTCTTTATAATAATTAAAAATTTTATAAATCTACAATAATAAAGATCTAATTTTATAATTATAAATTGTTTATTTTGGAATTTTAAAAGTTTTCTATTGCAAAAATTTAAGATAAATTTTATAAAATATTAAGTATTAACATTAACAACTAAAATATAAAATAAAAGATTCAAATTTTAAATAATTAAATGATTAAAAAAAATTAATTAAAAAATTGCGACAATATAAATAAATGTATAGAGTGAAATTAAGACCTTAAATAAGTATTATTTCTATTTTAATTTTATAGAAAAATAATAGTTAACTTAAAGTCTTACTACATTCGTTAATTTAAATTTGGGGCAAATATAGATACCAGGCCTATGGTGCCCCAAGTTAACTATTGCCCAAATTTTAAATTGGAGCAAATATAGATATCGGGACTATGGTGCCCCAAGTTAACTATTGCCCAGATTTTAAATTGGGGCAAATATAGATATCGGGACTATGGTGCCCCAAGTTAACTATTGCCCAAATTTTAAATTGGGGCAAATATAGATAT